GGAAAGTGATGTACCCTTGTGTTCTTTTTAAACTTTCCTCTTATGAATCAGTGGCACAGAGAAAAAGTGCCAGAAGTTCTTATTAAGTGGTTAAAGAGAATGCCTCTGTGTCAGCATTCTTGCTTTATTTAATGATGACCAAGCGAACTTTATAAAGGAATTGGCACTGTAAAGAATGTTGTATTCATTATTAATTGGAGAACATATGATAATAAGAAAATTGAGATGGGAGTATAGTTCAGTGATAGAATGCTTGTGTCAGGTTCTGGGTCCCATCCCTAGGGGAAAAAAATCAATAAGTTGTAATGCTTGTGTTCCTATATATTTAGAAGGTGGAAACCTGGAGAATCCAGGTTCAAATCCAGCCAGAGAATAAAAGTCCAGGAGACTTTATCTTCAGTTAGCCAGTAAAATGCAAAGTGGAGGCACACACACGCACACACACACACACACACACACACACAGAGTAATAACAAGAATATATGTAGTCAATATGTGCCAGCCTTACTTCATTCTTACTTCTTAGAGATAAGGACGGTGTCAAGGTTCAACACTCCACTCCTTCACTGAGTGGACATTTTCTATAATACTTAATAGTTGAATGGTATATTCATCAGGCAAACAAATGATTGCACTAAGAAGAACATTTTGAAGGTAAATCTGTCTCTCCTCAAATTAAACTTTCTAGTTAGGCTCAATAAAGGTGATATTGTTTGGCTAGGAAATTTTCTTCATTCTAACATCTCAGATTATGTTAAATATCTTTAAGAGCTAGTCAACATAAAATATTAATTAAATAGATGCAGAGAAATTATTAAGCTAGAATCTTGATTATTAATTATAACTGCAGAATTTTGTTTTATGCCAATATGACTTGGCTTTAGAGGAAACCACAAGGGCGCATGTATTCTTGGGGCCAAGAGATCTAAGAAACTGAGGCTTGACCCTGCCCCCAAGGAACTGGCCAGTTATCAGAGAAAACAGAAATTGCCCCTGCTCCCGTGTGTGGAGAGTAACTGAAGAAAAAGAATCATAGTATCCGGTGTGAGTCTCAGGTGAGTGTTTATTCTGTTTTTCTTTTTCTTCTTTTCCATGTGTGTGTGCGTGCGTGGGTGTGCACACGCGCACACAGTACTGGGGCTTGAACAGATAGCCAGAGCATTGTCCCTTTTCCATTACCCCTGGGGCCACACCTCCACTTCTGGCTTTTTGCTGGTTGAATAGAGAGAAGAGTCTCACAGACTTTCCTCCTCGGGGTAGCTTTGAACCATAATCCTCAGATCTCACCCTCTTGAGTAGCTAGGATTACAGGCATGAACCCCTAGCACCAGGACAATGCTATGTTTATGTTTATGTTGACTATCAGTCAAATAATAGGGATGAAGATGACAATTAGCTAGCAAAGACCTACCACTCTAACCCCATAAGGAATATTACCTGAATGAAATGCGTGTTATTCTTCAAGAGAGGCAACTCACTATGAGACAAATGAGACCACGGCCTTTGGCATTCAGTGAGCCTAGAAGTCTTTGCAGGAAGCAGGAAGAGCTACAGGTTAATTTCTTGGCCATAGGCATTTCACTGGTCATGATTTGTCAGTCGGCTTGGTGCACATTGGAAGGGATTTGGATTGTGTTTGATGATTTAGGGTGGTGGCTGGAAGGGCAGGAAGGGTCTATAGAGCTGTGCAGAAGACTGCCAACTTTCTTGTGGTGCATGTGTCTTCTCCCATTCCCAGAAAGAGTACCTAGTGTGCTTTGAACATTATCTCCAGGTCTCTCCAGGATGAACCTATTTTCTGGAGAGCTGAAGCCTTGGCCTACTGCAGGAAGTTTCCAGACCCTCCAGCTGGTCCTTTTGCACAGCCAGCTACCTCTGAAGCCAGCCTTCTCGGCATCTTCCTCTAGGGGCAACATCATTCCTAGACCCCATGACCTTCTTGGGAAACTTGAGCTAGCATGGATAGACATCTGGACATTCTGATGTAAGTCAAGCATCCAAGGTCACTCACTTGTTTTGATGGTGGAGACATTTTTTCAGATTTGTGACTTCAACAAAGGTGCTCTATTTCTTTAAACCTTGGTTTGCCTATAAACTAGAATGGTATCTGTAGTAAGGACCAGTGAGTCAGAGAATGTAAAGGTTTCCTCTGCCATCTGACACCCAATAGGTATATAGAAAATACCAACCTGGTTTAGATAGGTATGCAAAGTGCCATATGTTGTTTCTTGGCATTGTTAGGAAGTTACACAAGATGCAAGCAGGCAGACTAGGCAATGGAGGCCTAGTGGCTTCCTTCAGCACCTTGTTGCCTTTACTTGGCCATCTGGGAGGGAAAATGAAGAGTACAGACCCTGACTCGACGGATCAGAAGCAAAGGCTCTCATAACAATCTGACATGTGCAAATGTTAAGAATCAAGATGGGTGCCAATGGTTCATGCCTGCAATCCTAACAACGTAGGCAGGTGAGATTTGGGAATTGCAGTTCAAAGCCAGGCTTTTTTTTTTTCTGTGACAACCTGTAACATTGCTGTATTAACTAGTCAAATATCTTTTGTATTAAGATCCTATTTCCAGCAGTCTTTAAAACTCAACAACTTCCTGAAGTAGGAAACCTGTACTTGCAGTGTACACCCTTAAACCTGCCAAGTCCAGCCTGGGTTATGATGTACAGTGGGACTTCGGTACCTATCATCCTGACAGGCAGAGACATAAGTGAGTGCCTAGAATGACAGCCAAACATCCAATATAACAGAAATGAGACTTGATCCTTCTACCTAAACGTTAATCCTTTGTAGGTTCCTATCACAATCTGTGAAGAATATAGGAAGGAGAATTACAGTCTTCAGAAGTTTACATTAAGAAACAATCTTGACAGTATGGTCACCTCACTTAGTCTTCCCATCAATTCACTGTTCCTTTCTAGCATCAATGAAAGGGTCACAAGTGAAGAAAACTTCTGTTCACCTGCCACTGGATTTTCTTTCTTTTCTTTTTTTCTTTTCTTCCTTCCTTTCTCTCTTTTTTTCTTTTATTTTTCTTTGCCAGTTGAACTCAAGGCCTGGGCACTGTCCCTGAGCTTCTTTTGCTCAAGGCTAGTGCTCTACCACTTGAGCCACAGTGCCACTTTGGCCTTTTCTGCTTATGTGTTACTGAGGAATCGAACCAAGGGCTTCATGCATGCTAGACAAGCACTCTACCACTAAGCCACATTCCTAGCCCTCTTTTCTCTTCCTTTTGTAATCTTTTCTTATGACCGGTGCTGGTGACAGGCTTATAATCATTAGTTTCTCAGGAGGTCAGTATCTGGAAGATTGCAGTTTGAAGCCAACCTGGGCAGAGAAGTCTGACAGACTCCCTTATAAAGTGACTAGCAAAAAAGCAAGGCTGAGGTCTTAGTTTGAGTGATAGAGCATCAATGGAGTATGAGGTCCTGAGTTCAAATCCTCATACCAAAAAACCCTCAGAAATCTGTCTCCTATGATTTGTACCTCTGGTCCTTAATTCTATATTTAGCACTAAACACATGAAGCCCTTGCTTTTTTCCACACACTTTCATTTAAAGTGACAAAAGTTATGTAATGCAGACTCAAAGGGAAATGTATTTTGAATAATTATGTGACATTATGTGGAAAGTTCAGAGGCTGTGTACACCATCTCATGATTTTGAACCTTGTGGTTAAAGACATTGAAAGTTGACAGATTAGTCAGGGATTTGTCAAGAGTATTAATTATGAACTTTGAAATCTTGGTCAGTGAAAGTTCATCTGCGCATCTTGCAAATATGATCAAAGTCTTTTCAGTACTGATTTGATGGTGCTTAACCACAATGTGTGAAGAATGAGGCTTTTCATTAGAAATTACTGATGTAATTGAGGACATTTTCAAGAAAGATACATAATTGGGCTTTTATATATTCATGCTCTTCCCCTCCTCCACCTCCACTCCCATCTGCATTCTGTGAGCTCCTTTGAACACTTCAGATAGCATTTTAGAATGCCACAGAAGGAAAGTGTGTGCTGTTAACTTCAGTGCTACTCAGAGTTCTACCATCCAGGAGGACAAAGTTGGGGGTAGTGGAAATGATGAGTTCAAAATTATATACACAAAAAACTTGTGCTTACTGTGATTTGGGACGTTAAAGGAATTTACTACTTGCTGAGAAGTTGAAAATGATGAGTACAGTACAGAATTGGTTAGGAGAAGGGAAAAGCCATTCCTCTGCAATTATTCAGATACAGAAAATAATCTATGATTTTTCTCTTCTCTGGATGTGAAAATAATGCTCGGGCACGTAAACTGCGGAAAATGAAACAATATGCCCAGTGTAGCTTCTCAAAATCACTGACCCGTAAATCCCCCTCTCTTGAACCAGGGATGTCTGTCTTCTCCATGGCTGCCAGTGACTGCCTGAACAACATTGTGTTGCTTTACTGCAGGTCTCTGGAGTGTAGCTGAAAAGTGCTCAGAGTGTCCAAGAGTGCCAAGCCTTGGTCCTCTGTCCCTTTCTGCAGATTCCACAATCCTCTCTGTGGCCAGCTCTTAGCTGGGAAGGCTGGGAGCAGGCTTACCTGCGGTGAGGTTCTTCTGTTCAGTTGCTCCTGCGCTCCGGAAGGTGGCGCCCTAGCCACTCCAGAGGAGGAAAGGAAGGGAACCTCGAGGGAGAAGAGAAAGAGGGGGTGGGGGGGGGGGGGGGGGGGGGGAGGGGCGGAAGAGCTTAGTTCTTAGACCAAGGGCTCTGGCGAGTAAGTCGCCACCTCCACTCTTTTACGGAAAACGCCTAGATGTCTGGCCTGCTAGGGGACAGTTCGAAATTCTGGAGATAAATAGTGTTCCGAGGGTTATTCATAGCCAATTGCTTCTGGCCTACTGCGTCCCAGGGAAGGGTTGGTTTCCGTGCCTCCTGAGTGCTCAGCTGCGTGCGGGTGTGCAGAAAGCCGCGGGTCTCAGGGAGAGCGCGCGTCAGCAGACCCTTGGCCCTTTGTGTCTTGCTTGGCAGTGGCTGCACCCGTGCGCGTCGGTGAAGAATGATGCCCTGAGGGTGGGGTCTGCCTTGAACCTTCCACTCGCCGACCTCCAAGCGCCGACAGCGGGAATCCCCGACCCGCAGGCCTCCTGGGCCCTCTATCCCGCGCCCGCGGAGCCAGCCGCCCGCCCTCCAGGCCCGCACCCCGCGCCCCGCGCCAAGCTGTACCCCGCGTGGCGTGGTGTGAACCGGCCCCTTTGGAGCTGCCACGAAGCTGGCCCCGCTAGCCCCGGGAGCTGGGGCTGAGGCCAGGCTGGCTCGTGCGGGGGCCCCTGCCCGCGGGCAGTTTGATCGTGAAGCCGAGGTCCTGCCCGGGGCTGGTGAAGGCGCACGGCGGCGGCTGGGGCCCCGGCGGCCGCTTCCTGGGGAATTCTCCCTTCCTGTCCCCTGGAGCCCCCCCTCCCTCGGCTTCAGACCCTCAGGAGCTCCCCGCCCCCACCTCCACCGCCCGGTGCCGGCCTCGAGGATTTGCTGTCCTTGGTGACTCACATTCCCCGTAATTTTGAAAAACGGCGGTGCAAAGTTAAAAGAAAAAAAATCAAAACAAAAAAAAATCAAACACCCTCAGGCAAAAGAAGAGGGGGGACGTCCCATCGCCCCACGCACCGGCAAAAGTTGGCTTGGGCGAGTGGCACCGGCCGAGGCTGGGCTCCGCGCAGAAACGCACCCGAGGAGAGGGGGCGGGGGGGGGGCTGGAGTTGTGCTTTCAGTAGAGCAAGGAGTCCAGCTGATCCCTCCCCCTGGCACCCCCCCCTCCCCGGTGGACGGCTTCCTGATCCCAGATCAATCCCCCCCGCCCCCTTCACACACACACACACACACACACACACACACACACACACACACACACACACATTAGCCCCCGCGTAAAAGTTCAATCTGTCCCGTAGAAGAGCGCAGTCTTGAAGCTGAATAAAGCAATGAACTGAAAGGGCGGCGCGCCCGCAGCCTGGAGTGCTGAGGAGGCGGGTTTGGGGGATCCACTGCCGAATGAACTGGTTTCGAAACTTGGAAAGACCCCACAGGCGGCGCCCGCGGTGCGTGCATGTCCCCTGTCCGCTCAGTCCGAGTCCTCGCTTTCCTCCCTCCACACGCCGGCCGGTGGCAGGGAGGGGTTACTGTCCTGCAGCGAGATCGATATCCAGGATCGGTGAGCCAGAGCCCACCGGCCTTTCCCACGATGCCCTTCACGCCTGGAGGGATTCCCGCACGCACCGCGGGGAAAGAGCCGGACAGGGGCTCCAAGCCGCCTGATGCGCGTCGGGTGGAAGGGCCCCAGCTCGTCCGAGTTAACGAGAACCACCGCCTCCGGGCAGGCTTCTTTGTTAAGCCCTAATCTGGAGCTCCTGGCTTTCCCCGACGCCTAGGTATTGACCGGGTCGCAAGGGCGAGGCGACGCACGGACCACGCGACTTGGCGGCGTGGTTCTTTTGCGGGTCGTGCTCCGCGTCGCCCGACGCCCGAGATGGCACCGGGTAGGACCCAGGGTGGCTGACGGCTCACCCTTGGGGCTCTTTCCCCGCGGGCGCAGCAGGTTGCATTGCCTACCTCCACCCCCGACGCGGAGTTGCAGAGGCACAAAGCTCGACGGGAGCCACCGCCGAGGGCCACGGCAGCGATTCCCGCGGTTAGGACAGGTCTCGGCTTCCTAGAGTCCAGTCTGTCCGCGATGTGCACGCCCTCGACCTTTCCCTCTTGCTACGAACTCCCCGGGCCGGACCGGCGTGCTTCCTCTAGCCGGTCCTTCGCCCCGCTCGGGACGCACCGGAGACTAATCTGGGGTGGTGCTGGGTCACGCCGACATTAGAACGGCTTCTACACACGAACCATGCCCACGGCGCCCCGGCCGTAGCAAGGCCTCCCCACTCGCTCCTCTACTTGGAGGCCCCTTCCACGGCCTGATCGAGGTGCAGATTGGAGTAGCTCCTCCATTGAGTGTTCTTCAGCTCGGCGTCGCAGAAGGCAAGATGTTCCGTTTCCTGACCCATCCTCCCGCTCCCCGCCGCGCTCCCGTCCACCCCGGGGGGCGAGGAACCGAGGCGCGCAAAGAACTAGCAGGAAGGGCCAGGCATGGGGCCAGGGACACCTGTTCGGCGGGAGGACCGGGGTTCAGACCCACAGAAGAGATGGAGTGTGGTCTCCCCGGGAGAGGGAAGAGTGAAGACTCGAAAACGAGGCTGGGGTTGCAAAGGGAGGAAGGGTGGGGAATACTGTGACCTCCAGACGGCGGCCCCAGCGCGGCCCGAACTGCGCCGCTTCGCCGGCACCGACTCCAGCCCACCGAAGGACCGAATCTGGCCGGTCCCCGCGGGCCCAGCCCAGCTCACCTTCTCTACCGGAGACCGAGGCTCTCTTGGGTGCCTTTTTATTTCTAATGTTTGTTCAGTATCGTTTCTTTTGGGTTCTCTCCCTCCCTCCCACTCTCCTTTCCTCCTTCTCTCCCCCCACATTTCCTTATTTGACGGGCGTACAGTTGCTTCGCGCCCCGCACCTGAGTTGCGTGGGAGCGGCTGTGGGCTGCTGTTTGTGCTTTTCTTGACTGACCTTTCCCCCTCCCGGGGGCGGGGGGGGTTTGTCTCCCCCCCAAGGCTAAGCTCTGGGAAAAAAAATCCGACGATGGCGCGCGGGGTGACCGGAAGCGACGTCCGAGTCCGGCCACGGGGCGCGGGGAGGACAGCGAGCGTCTCGCGGATCTGGGTCCCACCCGACGCCTGGGAGTCTTACGCGAGCACGCTCAGAGACTCGGTGCCCAACTTTGTCCTGCGCTGTTTTCGAAGAGCGACCCAGCACAGCTCGAAGCGGGGCTAGTCCGCGCAGCAAACGCTAGAGGCGGCCTCCTGGAGCTCTCCTCCGGCGACCGTGCCCAGCGGGCGCAGTATTTCCCGGGGTGCCCTCACAGTTCTTGCCGCTGCGCCCGCCGACGACAGGGGGAACACTTTGGGGTGGGGGGGATGGGCAGCCGCAGCTGCCAGCAAGCCGAGTCACTCGGGTAAACACGCTGGGGTGGGCGGTGCGCAACGCAGGGAACCCGTCGGGACCACCCCCGCCTTTACCTGTCCCAGCCTGCAGGAGCCCGCGGCCCCGGCTCTGTGGGGGCGGTGCTTAGCTGCCAGCCCGCCGGGGCGGGAACTCCAAGGGGCGGAGCTCCAGGTGATTGGGCGCCGGCGCGGGGCCGCCTGTCTGAGCAGGGCTGCAGCGAACCGCGGGTTTCACTTCGCTCCGCGCAGCCGCCGGGTCGACAGCTCGTCAGGAGCCCAACGCCCTGACCTGCCGCTGCCCGCCGCCGCCGGTTCTTGCAGCCGCTCCGCGATCCTTGCTCCTCTGCAGACAGCACCGTCTCGGGCTGCTCGGCTTGTCCAGCTCCTGTGGCCACCGCCTCGGCGTCTCCCCCCCCCCCGGCCCTCGTTCCCCCAATGTCTGACTCTGACTCCCGGACTGAGAAACGCAAGGTAAACACCTCCGAATTCCGGAGCACCGGCTTGGGACCGCTGGAAGACCGGCACAGGCGCCGGAGCTCGAGCCGCTCCATCCCCCGCCCGCTTCCCTCGCACGTGCAGGCAGAATCGCGCGTATTTGCCCCACTAGTCGCAATAGGTGCAGGCGGGTCCCCTCCTGGGCAGGTCCACTCTAGGCCAGGGCTGGCTGTGGGCCGCCGAGGACACCTGACCGAAGTACGACTGGGGCCTGGATTTCGCACCCGGCGGGGGGACGGGGGGTGGGTCATGAAGCCCTGTTGGCCGGGCTGGGAGAGCGCGAGCTGTCGTCGCCGTGCTGGGGACTTGCCCCGTGAGCCTAAAGGAGAAGTTTCGCCGACAGCCCGGCGATCCCCTGCTTGTAGCCACGCAGTACCTGAGGGTTTGGCGGCTTGGCTCTTCGGGCGCATGAGCCCGTTGCGGAGAGTTTGCGGAACTGCGGTGGGGATTTAACTGACAAGGCTGGTCTTTTCCTGTGACTCATGCAAGCCGAGGTTTAGCTGCTGGTGTTGCTTTGTCGGATCTGCCTGGAGGCCCAGCCCCCGCTGTGTGCGCCCTGCGGACAACGTCAGTCAGACAGGATCCACTGGCCGCGAGGGACTCAGGGCCTCTCCGGACCACTAAGGCCACACGGGGGACCAACCAACCAGCAGAACTAGCTCGGTCCTCAGGGCTGGGCTCTCCTAGCGGCTCCCGAGTGCTGGATCGCACCGATACTCGTTTGCTGTGCAGGCTGGTGGCGCCGTACCTTCGGGGGACGTGTTTCCCCGGGGTTGGCACTGATGGTGCAGGGCCCGCGGGACACTGGGGAACGAGAGTTGGGTGTGTGCGCTAGTGACCAGAGATGGTCGTTCCGATTTGGTGCGTACCCGCGGCGCTTGGGGACCTAGGATGAAGTTGCAGCAGTTGGCTGGATGCTGCAGCCGGGGCTAGGGCAGCCGTTGAGGTCGGCAACTCGACCTACCCGAACCAGTGTGTTGACTGCCCATCTAGTCCCGGGAAGTTCTTCGGTCTCGCTTTGTCTCCAGGTGATCTTGCCCGGGGCGGCGGGAACTGCTGCAGCGCGCGCGGTGTCCCTAACGCAGGGGCGGGGCGGACAGCCAGAGCCCAGCCTGGAGGTTGTGGCCGCCTCAGCCCTAGTGGAGCTGGAGGGCGAGTTTGTCAACAATCGCCTCGCCTTTGGCTGCCTGACCCGTAGGCGCCGCCCCCGCCGCCGCTGCCCATTGGCTGCAGCACCGAGCGACCGCGCACGGGCCAATTGGGAGCGCGGGCACCGGGCGCCAGCTGCGCGGGG